GGACTATTTTGGAGGTAGCCAAATCTTGAGTTTGTGACTGACTCAGTGCAATGCTGGGACTAGGGATGCCAAGATGAAGGCTGGGTGACTGCCGGGTCAGTCCACATTGCATTGGCACTGCTCTAACCCCAGCAGTCTGGGTAAGATAAAAGGGCAGCAAGAGGCTTGTTTTGCCATTTTGCTCTGGTTGCTCCTGCTGTCTTCCACTGCCATGAACAGTTGGCCCTCAGCTATGCCACCCTGCCTAGGAGCCAGCTGAGTATGGACTGCAACCTCCACAAACTGTGAGCTAAATAAACCTTTCTCCTTTTAATTTTGGACGTCAGTATTTTGTCTCAGCAATGAGAGAAAGGTAACTAAGATACGAATCAATTCAGAGTGTTTATCTTTCATGGTCATCTTGACCTTGTGGGAAGACCAGAAGTTGTGCAGAGCCAGATTCAGTAAACGAGAAGGAAGACACACCTGTTATGATCCCGTCGGTCCGCTGGATGGTGCTCAGCAGCAGCAGTCACCGTATTTGTATCCCACCCTGTGAAGACACTAAGGAAAGAGAACCTCCAGAACTACTTCAGAAAGTGACAAGAAGGATGGAACAAGTGTGTTCAAAGTGAAGGAGTGTCTTGTGGGGGACTAATGTGTCTTTTCCTAGAATAAATCTTAAATTTTTAAAATGTTTAGGCATTAAAGTGTATTTTGAGTACATTGAATATGCAACATGTTTTGTTAATTCAGTCACTCACGGATGAATCCTGACTTGTTTCCTTCTCTGGGCAACTGTGAATAAGGCTACAATAACCGTGAATGTATAAATATCTTTTTGAGATCCTGCTTTCATTTTTTTTTCAAATATATCCCCAGGAGTGAGCAACTGGGTCTTATGGCTATTTTATTGTTAATGTTTTAAGAAACCGCTGTACTCTTTTTCATAGTGACTACACCATTTTGCATTCTGAATAATTTAACTGCACAATGGCCTCAAACTCACATCCTTGCCAACATCAAGATCTGTTACTTCCTGTTTGTTGCTGGGTGGTAGATTATGGTTCTGATTTGTATTCCCAAATTATTACTGATGTTGAGCATCTTTTCATATGCTTGTTGGCCAGAGTTACGTCTTTTAAATTTACAAAAGGTGAGTAGGGGTAGCCCAGTGTGGTATTTTGCATTTACTTCAGGACTAGTGTCTTTCTAAATATTTTGCCCATTTTAAAATTAGGTTTTTACTGAAGTCTGAGATTTTTTATATATTCTAGGTCCAAATTCTCTAATAGAGATATGATTTGCAAATATTTTCTCCCACTTTGTAGCTTGTCTTTAGCCTTTTATTATATCTTTTCTTTAGGGGTCATATTTAATAAAACTTTGCTTAAGAGCAACTTAAAAAGATTTTGATTTCCTCGATAAGTTTTATAGTTTTGTTTTACATTTTACATGTATATCTACAATGTACTTGCATTAGTTTCTATATGATACAAATGTGTAAATTATTTTTGTTCCACTGGATACAGACACCCTATTGTTCTAGCAACATATATTGAAAACATTAAGCGGAATCTCACTAAGTCACTAAGTTGTCCAGAGTTGTGACTCTCCTGCCTCAGCTCCCAAAGTGCTGGTATTACTGGCACTGGCACCATACCTGCTTGAAAAAGTATTTGCCTTTGTTTTTGAAAGATACTTTCATTTCTATTCTTCAAAAATAATTCATCACAGTAACAAGAGAAAAAAGCATAAGTATCCATCTTTGATGATTTAAAAAATCTTCCTATCTTTGAGTTACACAGGAAAATGGAAAGCTGATGGCAGAACAGTAACATAAGAGGATGAAAGCACACATATAATGTTGACCATGTCTGGCACTAGTGTTTGGCCAAACTAAACTAGAAACTGCAGTCAAGGAAGCCCACTGGTGAAGTCCATGCAGATACACAGAGATCTTGAAGAGTGGATCTAGAAGAGTGCATTTGGACAGGTAAACGAAAATATTTAACATCACACCATTCTATGTATTTCAGATGTATTAGCACAATGAATTCTTCCAACACCATAAGATTTAATTATTACCCCCCAATAAACAGTGCACGAAGAAACATACAACTGAACTATGATGCCCTCAAAGTTTAGATGAAGACATTGCTTTCACTGGATACGAAGAGGGATGCTCTAAATACAAGAACAATGACAACAGGAAACAACTTTTAGCAATAAAAACTGATGTGGTGAGGCATGCTTATTAATGTTAGCACTTGGGACGCTGAGGCAGGAGGACAGCTTTGAGAAGCCAGCCTGGACTACATAGTGAGTTTAAGGCCAGCCTGGAATACATAGAGAACCAGTCTCAACAAACACAAATGACTTGGATGGCAACCTTCTCCTCATAGTAACAGAAGAGTCAGGAAGCAACGGAGGGGAAATCTTGAGATCAGCACAAAATATAAGGAAATGCAAACCAAAATTATGGTTTAGGGCTGAATCTCAGTGGTACAGCACTTGCCTAGCATATCTGAGAAAAACAAAACACTGTAAGAAGTCAAATACCTACAATCCAGGTCTGTGGCTGTTATGGCTTATGTCTAGATGTCCCCCCAATCCTCATGCACTCACAGGCTGGGCTTCTGGGAGGTTACTGGATCATAGGTGTGTCTGTGCCCATCCAGCCATCCCCCCTTGATAGCTTGCCCCCTCCTGCCTGACATGTTTCTCCTCTGGGATGCCCGTCTTCCATGCAGCCAGCCCAACTATAGACTGAAATTCTACAAACTGTGAGCTGAAGTAACCTTTCCTCCTTTAATTTGCAGGAGTTGAGTATTTCGTCTCAGCAATGAGAACTAACAAAGTGCCACACACTTGTAATCTCAATCAGTGTTGGGAAGCCAACACAGGAGCATAAAAAGTTCAAAGTCAGCCTAGCTACCTTGGTGAGAACCTGTCTCAAACTAAAAATAAAAATTGAAAAGGTCTGCAGATGTAGCTCAGTATGAAGGCCCTGATTTCAACATGGTAGCTTAAAAAAAAAAAAGGGTAAATGTCTAGTAAAAAAAATACAAGACAAAACTTCCAAATTCCAAATTCTCTGGATGGAGTAGGATCCTGAAGTATACAGCATAATGGATGAAAAAGTAATTAACAGGCCACAACAGTGAAAGGTATTGGCTTTTCACAGGTTTCACAGTGATTTCACATATACCATCTACCCCTCTCACCTTTTTTTTTTTTTTGGTACCAAGGCTTGAACTCAGAACCTGTCCTTGCAAGGCAGTTGCTTATGCCTCTGAGCTAAATCCTTGGCCATCTCACCTCTTCAGTGAGTCTGAGGGGTCAGTGTGTTGCAGACATGGAAACAGAGACTCTGATGGAAACACTCAGGGTAACTTTTCTCCCCAAATCTTTAACAGATGAGATCCCACAGTGCATTACCACTGAGGTGTGTTTATGTGGTAACATGGATGTGTAAAAAAGTACATGCTATTTGGAATGCATGTCCTGTTTCCTGACATAAATGATCTGCCTTCAAAGATACAGTACGTGGCTATAGTGCTTTGCTATTTCTCAGGTCCACTGATGAACAGCTTCTTCTGGGCTGGCTGTGTAAGGGACAGACGTGCCATCCATATCTGGAGATAAGACATGATGTAATGATAATTATGTTACGTTACAGTTACAGTGATAGTTTTGCAACCTGTTTGCCTAAATTCCTTTGAGGTTAGTACCTATAATTACCTTTTTTTCATTGTGTGCTTCCTCACCTAAGCAAGGTTTTATACTGTACCTTCAGATGCCTGCTGGTAAGTCTACACTTCCCCATTCCCCTTCCAATATTGTAAATCCTGTAATTCTGTTACAGAATAAACCAGACAGCATTAAGTAACTAAATCAACTGCCTCAAAGAAAGTCAATGTTCAGGGTCTGTTTACAAATGTCAGAGCGTCCAGCAGGGAAACTGAAGTGAGTTGAACTGCACGGCCCTTTGCTGTTCCAAATCTTCCAGGGAGTAAAATGGAGATGGTTTGTAAAAGTATTAAAAAACAGAGATGCACAAAACAGGCATGGCAAGCTGAAGAAGTACGCTGCAGCTTCCTGTGACCACACTGGGAGACTGCGGCTCTGGAGAGGTTTTCTATTTCAGCTGCTGGGACTGACCTGGGAATGGAGATGAATACAGGCAGTAACCACGGCCCAGAAGCTGAACGCACACTGCTCTGCACCACGACTTTTATCTAGACTGCAAGAATTACAGTGTGAAACACAGCCTTAGAGAACAGACTGACCAAAACCTTCTAGCCAGCAGTCATTTGTACCAACCCACAAAATATTAGCATGAACACCTTCTAGTATGTTAATGACTAAAGACACATTCTCTAGCATTCACAGCCAGTACAGCTGTGGAGATAAAGAAGAGGGCGCCTCCAGTGTGGCACTACAGAAGGGTATGAAGGACAAAAAGGAAGGAGAAAGGAAAAAGGAGAAAGAAAGTGAGAAGAAACATGGACTTCCATTTACTTATGTGAACATCCTGACTAGCCTGGGAATCGGGATATGGTGAAGAAAACGCTAAGAGCTCGCTGTAACGTAAAACTAACCGCCAGCCTCACTGGGCCAGCGGCGATTCAGACCTGGCTGCTGGCAGCTTAACAATGTATTTAGCCTTTTCACCTAGGAAGTATTCTCTGTGAGAAACAAAACTAATCATTTTAATGAAAAGGCAGACTGAAATTCAGCCTCAGGTTCCTCAACAGCCACCTGTATCGGCAGTGAGACTCACATCTCTGTAACAACTGTAATTCATCATTTGACTTTAAACACTACAAAGCCAGGTTTACTAAAATAAGTGGATGAATACAGAGTACTTTTAAAAATAGATATTTAAGTTCCGCAAACTTTGAGACACCGATTTGCATTTTATCACTTGTATTTGAGAAGCACAGCTATTTTAGAACCACACTCCCCGTCTCAGCACCCTCTCAGCACCCTGCAGAACAAACACAGTGCACAGCGAGGACATTCTTATTGTAATTTATTTGAAATGCTTCCAGAAAAGTTTAAGGCCATTATACAAAAACATTCATTCCATTGAAACATTCAGTGCCCTCCTTCTGACCGGCCAACCCTCGACAAACTTCTCTCCTCGATTCACGGGCCAAAGTGGCCAGTGGTTCTTTGAAAAATGATTCATTCTCTTCCCATCACTGAAGAACTTTCTAGGCTTTTGTCTGCTTCTATCTGCAGCAGGTTCATTCATTCGCTAAATCATAACTTGAGGAACAAAATATTTTAAATAAACTTGTAATAGAAAAATTCACCATGTTTAAAATCTATAAATATGTTTTACAGGGTAAAATTGACCATAATATTTTTTTGCTTTTGAAAAATAATAATGTACTATACCTTGTTTTCATATCATTAACTCTCATTACAGCTTCTGTGAATACACATGATCTATGTACACAATAAAATGACATTGTACTTGCTGCTTTTTTTCTGTAAACTTGAAAAAACAGAAAATTAAAAAAAACTTTTTTGGCAATAATTTAGAATCATTACTACTAGTGCTGGTGTGGGTATAATTTTGCACAGAATTTTGTTATTCTAAATATTTACAATCACAGGGAGCTTTTCTGTGTGTTTTTAACTTTTTTTTAAAGGTCTGCAAGCCAGTCGGCTCTGTAAATCTGGACAAAGAGGTTACACATTTGGCTAGCGGGTCCTAACTACTCAGTTGATGAAATTGGCTTCTGGAAAATGTAACTGTGATTCTGATGACAATACAGGCCAGAGGTGCAATGGATGACCCAAAAGCAGAATAGGAGATCCCAAGCTGTGGCCCTCCTCAAGGCTGTGGCCATACTTCCTTGGCTTTCTTCTGTAACCGTTCTCACAGGAGACCAAGGACGTGCTGCTCCCAACTCGTGTGCTCTGTAATCAATCACTGATCCGGTCACAGTCCCTGTCCTGACTGCTTCATTCACACAGTAAGATACGAGTGGCTCGGGCAGATGAAACCCAGTGAAGACGGCTTCCTGATTACCCTGGCAGGCTTTCCCAGACCCTCTGGGTTCTATACTGCAGGCTGCAAACAGCTCTCTGTGGCAGGCATCAACCATGACAGACACCTCTTGGAGACATTTTAATTAAAGATCCAGAGGAGTCAGCTGCTCTTGTTCAGGCTCTTTCAAGGCCAGCTTCTATTTCACGTCCTGACTGATCACTGCATCAAACTTGCACTGCATAAAACTGCAAGGTTCAAGCAGTACTTCCTCCTTTGCAAACTAAGCCTTCGTATTGAGTGACACAGAACCAAGTTTTCATGTCAGTGGTTGGTTTTTTCCTAGTTCACTGTCAAATACCATCCCAAATTCTATTTGCAAAGCCCTGGATTCCATGCCTTTGGCCACCACACCAAAGAGCCAGAAAAGCACTAGAGAAACAAGGGAAGAACTCTTCAAGCAATCTACACAGACAGTAGTTTAGATTTTTTTTTCTATTTTTAAAATCCAGCAGGACAACTGAAAGTACCTGTCCATCCATCCAGACACCTGTTAGATACAGTACAGGGTAACGGCTGCCAGGTTTCCACTGATACAGACAGATTGATTGGCAGTTACAGTACTGGAGACAAAGGGACCGATACAAGAGAATGGCCCAACACGGTCACAAACACATTAAAAAGTGCTTCTCCAAACCGCGGCTGTGGCGTACGTGGAATGCAAATACTGCACAGGTAAGACACAGGGCTGCTTCCGTGAGGGACGTGCCCTCCCGTCAGACATTACCGTCCACGTGCCTGCTGTTTCCGCAGGAGGAGTCCGTCTGTTCCATCCTTTCACAGTCAAGGCTGACCTCACTTGTGTCCATGCTGCAGTCCGACTCACTGTCCGATTGGTCCATCTGCTCAAGTTTTGTTTCTCCCTGTGGCTCCTTGCTCCTGCTGGCAGGATTCAGGAATGTGCCCTCAGCGTCAAGCAGCCCTGCCTGCCCGGCAGCACATAGAACTGTTTCTTTGGCTTGACGAATACAGTTGAGCCACTGCTGCTTGTTGAAGGTATCATTAGCTTGTAATGAGTGGGTCTGACTTTGGGATCCATTTTTGAAACTGACTCGGAAGAAGTTTTTAACTGGAAAGGACAAAGATGTAAAAACAATAAAAATCAGTGGATATCTACCCAGACCAAGAATAACACACGTAGTAACACTAACCCCCATTCCCAGGGTTCCTGTGCTGATTATAACACTAATCCTGATTATAACACTAACCCCAGTACCCGTGGTTCCTGCACTGATTATAACACATTTCCCACTGGTTCAGGACACAGCTCAGCTCCTCCTGTGCCTACCATCAACCAACCAAAGCTGGACACTGGCCCGGCTTTCAGTTGCCCTTGTTACTCTTAGAAGGCAACAAACAAGTACCAGCTTGGGAAAGCTTAAGCTTTGTGTTTCAGGGGATCCCAGAATCCTGTGACCAGACATATCTGCATATCAAAGTCCTCTGGAGAGCCTGCCAAAAATACAAACCCGTGGGCCCAATCCTTAAGAGATTCTGATTCAACGGGTCTAATGTATGCCTAATTATCTGTAATTTCAACAAGTGCTCCAAAATAAATGTTTTCCAGTATAAGCAGCTCTTCGCAACATCAAAACATGCCACAATCCTCCACAAGAGCCTTAGTGTTCAGTGACTAAAAGGTATGTGAAGGCATAGAGTGTAATAAATTTGCTTTCAAAACGGAATTACGTTGCAGTGACCTGAACAGAAGCAAAATGCACTTTTTTTTTTTTTTTTTGGTCTTTTTCATTTTTATTGGTACCGGGGATCGAACTCACGGCTGCCTGCTTACAAGGCAGGCGCTTATGCTGCTGAGCTAAACTCCTAGCCCCTCAAAATGCATTTTTAAAAAAATGGTAGCACACAATTATGTCACTGATTCCACCCAGAGACAGCACTAAGGCCCTTGTGTGCGGCACGAAATGCTTGGGTTCTGGAAGCAGCTGTGATCAGTCCCTATGTCCTACTGTGTCACCAACAGATTGGAGACCTCCACTTCTGACGGCTTAGGGACTAAGCAGTGAGGACAGAGGAGAGCCAAACTTTCCAGTTAATCCTACGGCCTAAATTCAGGCTCTGCTCTTTGACTTTCACTCAGTGATGGCAAACCTTTTAGAGCTTCAGTGATAATGGACAACCTGCCCGCCACCCCTGCCTAACTCTTCTGTGTCTCAGTTTCCTTGTTTGCAAAAGGGAGGAAACATCAACAGCCGACTCTCAGGCTGTTGCAGGGAATAATGTGACGCTACCGTAAGTGCTTGTATGATGGATGGCACATAGTAGTCAAGAAATAAAAGCTTTTATTTTTATTACTGCTACTAGCACAGTGGTAGTAGGGACTGAAAGCAAGAAAGAGGCAACACATGTTAATTACTTTGATAATGTGACGCCTGTGCTAGGCTGAAGACTCAGACGTTGATTTCTCAGAGAGTTCCTTAATGATGTTGTCTAAAACAGATCCTGTTCTACTCCTCTCCCTCTCCATCCCAGCACCAGGAACACTTATCATCTATCCCTCTGACAGTGCAGACTACAGGGATAAGGAATGTGACCGCCTGTACCCTCACGAATGCCTGCCACAGTGGCTGACACATGGGAGGTGTTGGTAGACACTGCTGCCTTAGCTTCTCTTGGTTAATGACCTTAACAGCTCCCAAGTCAGAGAAGCCCACTGGGTGACTTACAGGCTAAATTCTCATTCCAGTTATCTTAACCCTCTTTAGAGAGGAGCCTACCAGCGAGTGCAAGACCCATCGCTATGCAGCTAGTACCCTCATCAGGATTCTGATAGCAAACACTCTTCTACCCAACAGCAGAAGTTGGGGACGGAGCATAAGGAGCACAGCTCGGTGGCAGTGGTTCTCTGCCAGTATCTCAACCCTTAAAGCCACCTCGTGATGGAGGCAGCTCTGGATTCCCGGGGCAGATGGCAAACAGGCTCGCGGAAGCTAAAGAATCTAGCGTGACTCCAAGGCTCTGGTTCCTTCCTTCTCTACAGTCAACTGCTCCCTCCGAAAACCACAGCCAAAACCTTCCCGCAGCTGCCCCTGGACCACCACCATGCGTACTTCTCTCATTGTTGGTGAAGGCCCCACGCAGGGAGCCGCCCAGCCTCACTTCCCCGTCTTGCAGATCTTCCAGCAGCAGGTCCTTCACGGGAATTGGCTGCCGGTACAGCTGGTAGCACAGCTGCTCGTTGTGGGTGATAGCTCGAGTAATCACAAGCACTTCTTGGAACAGGAAAACATGGAGTTTCTGGAAGAAAACACCCCACAAGATCTCCCTCAGCAAGCATCTGAAATGAGGTTGATTTGGGGACCTCTGTAGCAAGAAGTCCCCAGGTTCCCAGGTTCTTATGCCCCAGTCTACCTCCAGGAGAGCGGAGGCTTTAAGCTTTTCCAGAGATGTCTGTCCGGGCCTTTTCAGTAAGTACTTCGCTGGGGTCCACTGGAGAACATCACACACATGCATGCACGCATGCATGCACATTTCTTCTGATTCCACAAACAAATGGCTTGGAGAATTAGACTTTTAACTCTCATATACTTCAAATTGACCTTTCTCTATGCAAGCACACATTCATCAAGTACTCAGTAGTTGTCCAGTTCTGGGAACTGACACAGCTCATTCCCCACTCTAAAAGATCATGGTGCTGGTGAGGCGGCACATGCCTGTAACCCCAGCACTTGGGAGCCTGAGGCAGGAGAACTTTTGCTGCATTTCTGCTAATCCTAATGCTGGCCTGGGCTACATACTGAGTTTAGAGGGAAACCTGAACTATACAGAGAGACCCTATTATTTCAGCAAAACAAAACAAAACAACAAAAATAGATACAAGATCATGGTATAATGACAGACACTGACACACAGATGGGGAATTACAACCCACTATAGTAAGTGCTCCAAGGGACATTTGCACAAGTTGTCATGACAATAGAAGAACAAATTCAATAGCTAGTCAGAAATAAAAGCTAGGTGGAATATTTGCAGGTCATAGCTAGATGTGAAGCCAATGGAAGATAAATTATTTAGAATAAAAACTGAAAAACCTCAACAAAATCCCAAAATACAAAAACCAAAACAAAAACCTGATCCCAAAATGTCAGTCTTTGGATGGGTTCCAAAATCTGAGAAAGAAGAGTTTCTCAAAGAGCTAAATGCATTCGATGTAAGAGCTGTATTTTTTGGATATTAAATCCTTTTTTTTTTTGGTACTTGGGATCTAACTTATTGACCTGGCACTTGCCAAGCAGGCACTTATGCCACTGAGCTAAACCCCTGGCCCCAGATATTAATCCTTTTAGCAACCTCTTTAAATCATCCATTTATTTATTTATTTATTTATTTATCTGTCTGTCTGTCTGTCTGTCTGTCTGTCTGTCTTTGAGGCACAGTCTCACTATGGAGTTCAAACTGACCTTGAATTACTAGGTGGCCCAGGCTGGTCTTGAACTCAGGGCAATAGTTCCTGCCTCAGCCTCCCAGTGCTGGGATTATGGATGTATACCACCATGCCCTCTAAATCACCCATTTATTTCCTACTATTATCAAAGTGGGAGGCACATAGGCATATGCTTGTAAGTCTCCAGTGAGCTAGGGTGCTTAGGCAGGAGATCACTTCAGCCCAGGCTTTTAATGTCAGCCTGGGCAGCTTAGCAAGATTATGTCCACTAAAAACAAACAAACAAATAGATGTTAACTGCTCTGTATTTGGTGAAGGCTGTGATCAAAAAAGATACAAAAATTTAGCAAACCTATGTTAGTTTCCAAAATTCTTTCTGAATATATACTGGGCCGTGACCTCCATCCATCCATCCAACCATCTTATGGGAAAAAGGAAAAAGCATTTTTGTTTATAATGACATGACTCTAGACTGGGAAAAAAATCTGAAAAGAGGTGTAGATCAAATGGATCCATTGTTAGAAGGCCCTACATGAGAGCTTCCAGAGAAACCACTCACCACACCCCGGTTGTTCTTTAGTTCACCATGACAACACAAGACTCGTGAGCTGTCAATCAGAGAGTCTCTCTGGCCTTCTTCCAAGTAAAGAAGCCGCTCCTTATAGTAACGGCACTCAGATTCGCCAGTCTTGGTGTTGATCTCTGCCACAATTCCCTGAATAATGTTTATCTGTGGAAAGAAAGGAGTGCATGGAAAGTAATCAAACTATCAATAACAACAAGTCCTAAGGCCAACCTAGAAGGTGCCAAGACACACTTAGAGCTAAGATTCTGGTATTGCAAACGCTTCTCTCTTCTGCTTTCATGCTGTCATTTTTAGGTTTCACATAGTAGGGGGAACAGGTGATATTGTCTTTCTGAGTCTGGTTTACTTCACTTAATGTGAAGCTCTCTATTCCATGTTTTCTGGCAAATGACATAACTTAGTTCTTCTTTATGTCTGAATAGTACTCCACTGTGTGCACATGCACCTGTGGATGGGTCCCTAGGCTGGTTTCATATCTGGGCTTCCGTGAATTGTGCGGTGGGTATGCAGGTCCTCCTGTGGTGTGCCCACTTTAATCCTTCTGGGTATGTACCAAGGAGTGGGATAGTTGAGTCAGATAGTTTTAAGTTTAGTTTTTTGAGAAACCTTTGTACTGACTTCTCTAGTGGCCCCCCAGTTTACTTTCCCACCAGCAGAGTACAATATTCCTTTTCCACTGCATCCTTGTGAGCATTTAATGTTTTTATATTGTTGAGGACTATTCTCACCAAAGCAAGATGAAATCACAATGTAGTTTTGATTCGCAATTCCTTAATGCTAAAGAAGTTGAAAAATCTTTTCCAATACTTAACAGCCATTTGTACTTCTTTTGAGAAGTGTCTGTTCAATAATTTGCCCATTTATTGGTTGGGCTATTTCATTTTATTTTTGGTTTTGTTTTTTGAGTCCTTAAAGATTCTAGGTAATAATCCTGTGTTCGGAGAATAGCTGACAAGATTTTCTTTCATGTTGTAGGCAATTTCTTGACTCTGTTTGTTGGTTTCTCTGCTGGGCAAGAAACTTTTAATTTGATATCACCCCAATTGTTGATTTGTGCTATTTGAGTCTTTAGTCAGGAAGTCTTTGCTTGTGCCCAAGGCTTCAAGCATTTGCCCTCCACTTTCTTCAGTTTCAAGTTTTATATCTTTTTCTTTGGGCAGAGTAAATCTTTGATGTTTATGAGCTCCATCTGCACTTTTCTTAAAACATGCTCACAGTGTTGGAACTGTAGGCATATAAAAAACTGAGCCAAGGAAAGACAGAAAACAACAGAATGTACAAGTTCGAAAAGCACGATTGTCCTGGGGACTTGGGAACTGGCTTTAAGCTTTCAAATTTTGCTAGTGGCACTACTTTGATTTAAAAGAACACTTGGGGTCAGGCACAGAGGATTGAATCTGGGGGCTCATGCACGTTAGGCAAGCGCTCTACCACCGAGCTACATCTCCAGCAAGAGCACAATACTGTTTAAACACATAGCCTCCCTGGTGTTATATAAAAGAAGCTTTGGCCTTGGTGTCAACTCAGTACTAAATATAAGGGTTGTAAAATTAATTTTGAGTTTTATTAAGGCAAAGCAAATAATAACGTTTTGGCATACTAGTGTTCTCTTCATTTCTGTCTTTCCTTCTTGGTTTCCCCCTCTTGATATTCACTGTCACTTTCGAATCCAACAAAATTTTTTTTTCACAAAATATACTAAAGCTGTGATTCATCCTTCCATTTAATGCCCGCTGTTTTATGCTAGTCTAACTAGGTGCGTTCAGTGACATGAGGGTGGGTCCTTGCCTTCAGAGAGCTTAAGCATATGGGGGTATCTGAGCAATTGCTTTCTATCTAGCTTATCCTTTTACTTGTCTTTGTTTTCAATATGAGGTGGAATCATATTTGTTCCTGGCTTTTAAAGCCCTAGGGTGAATGGCTATGGCTTATCAGTTAAGCTTAACTGGGTACAGCTGGAACTCATCAGCACGAGAGTCATTTTCTGGGTTTCCATTGAGTATCCAGGAAACCAGAAAAAAGATGCACCAGGGGTGTAATTATGTGTTCATTTCCTAATTTAGCTCAGGGGCTGCACAGCTGGCAAAGCACATGAAGATTTATAAACTCAAACGCCACAAATGGTTCCATAGGCAGCCATGACTACTTTCAAATATCCCTTCTCTCTTTGAAAAACTATAGAGATGAAATACCCAGTGTTATCATCCCGTACTTTATGTATGCATTTGTTATAGTAATTCTGGGCCTACTTTCATTTATTAAAAATAATGTTTTGCTTTATATCTCCCTCAACACCATGAGGCTCTCATCTTCCTGTGACAGGTCTGGAGGGAATTTACTCTGTCGGATGTCAAGGAGTTATGCGTTTACACACAACAGGCTTCCCCTAGTAAACAGTGATGGTCACTGTGCATTTAAGTTCACTGTTGTGTGTCTCACCGGGTTTAACCTCAAGGAAGGGACTGTGAAGGGAGACGAGGAGAAACACAACGGTACACAGGGGAGGCCACACATGCTGGAAGCATCATCCTCAAGGTGGGATCTGAAAGCCTTGTCCTTCTGGTCCCTTGAGTCACAATGTCATACACTCACTGGCTTCTACAGGAACCAAGAATAAGTGTCTTCTGTAAAAGTATGACTGTTTTTCTCATTTACCTCACTATTTTTTCCAAAGGGTTGGAAAACAGTGGGTAGGAAAAAGGGGTGGTCTGTGGGATCGTTTTCTGGATGAAACAATACTTAGAATTTAAAACATTCAACAATCAATTCTCTGGAATATTGAATATCCAAAGTTCTATTTTTAGAAAGTTCTTAATGGGAGCAATCACTATCACTCCTCAAAACACTAGCGTTAAGAAATTTCAGTAACAATGAGGTAGTTTGCACACTGCAGTAAAGGGCCTTTCTTTAGATCTACTCACAGGACAGAAAGTAATCACCTATTTTGGCATGCAAGCAGTTTACTGGGCATTGTGATTTTCCCTTTGAATAGGTGGAATGTTTGTTCAGGAAACATGTAAGTGGAGACACTGACATTACGAATTTCATGTTCATCAAACATTCATAATGCACCCAAGAGAGCAGAGCTAAAAAATGGTGTTCACCTAGGGTAATGCCACAAGGGTTCTGAAAAGAACAAGAAGGTAGAAAGAACCCTACTCCTGAGTAAATGGGCACTTAGAGGATTTGTTGTGTGGCATTTTAAATGCAGGTGTATTGGCCTCCCGCATGGATCTGCCGGAATGATCAGGTGCCACACAATGGCTTCACACCAGGCATGGGGGAGACTGGTAGCTGGCACACCCTTTCAAAATGCAAACAGTAATATTTTCTTAAACAGTAATATTTTTTATCTGTTTTTAGATTCTCTTTTAGCTCCCTTTAGTTTCTTTTTAAAAAGAGAAGAGTATTCTTTTACTGTTTATTAAAAAGAAGCAAGCTTTATATTAAAACACTGAGCAGGCTCACGCGCCGCCACAAAGTAATTATTTAGAGTAGCTGGGGTGCCCTGCTGTTTTTATTCCTGCAGACCACACATTCGTGGGGATCAAGTATGGAGAGGAGGCAACTTGATCATCTTCCCACTAACAAAAACAGACATGATGAAGTGGGAAGGCCTCCTCCCCACCACCTGTGCTGGAGTGGGGACTTGGTTTGTGTGCACCAGGCCTGCCAGAGGCACCCAGTGCCTCATCAATCAGGAAACTCATTCCCTGTTCTCCTCTTCTACGGGGAGGGGTACCCAGCCCATCTTCACATTCCAAGGTCTCAACACAGAGTCTATCTGGTGACCACAAGGCTCTCTGCAACTCCAAAGGCAAGAGGAGCTCCAAGGAATGGCCGCCTTCTGCATCAATGTACAGGTTATAAAGAAAGAGAAAGCATAGGATTTGGAGTCTGCACTGACAGGGTCTGAGTGTTAACCCTTTCACCTCCTGGCTCTGAGCCTGGGCAAGCTATTGAACTGCTCTGAGCCTCACCTAGACAAGGCACTAATAAGAAGTTACCTCAGAAGTGGTTATGAGTGCTAACTCCCATACATAATCTATAAAGCAATTACATAAAATTGACTTATTAGGTACCATTAAATGCCAGTAATTACCACAATTAGCGTTACTGCTTGGTAACAGCATTACTCATTCTTATTGAACCTCTCTCTGGAAGAGAACAGTTCGCTCAGCAGGTTCGAGGCTCCTGACTGTCAAATTATCTGTGCATATCCTCCTGCTTCTGAGCTACAGTGACCTGGGAAATGAGCCCTATGAATTGGTTGCTACCCTCTAGCCTGCTCCCCTCATCAGGTTTTCATGACTTCACACCTGGACCACTGTACCATCCCTCCCTCCCTGCCCCAGTCTCATCCTCTTCAGGCCCCAGTGGCATAGAGTAACAAGTTCAACGTTACACAGCTTAGAAGTGATGGAGCTGATCCCTACTACTCAGAAAACAAATCTTCAACTAATTACATAACTCAGGAACACTTCTCAAATTGATATTTAAAGTCTTCTAGAGCCAGACCTGAACCCACATTCTCTATCTCACTGCAGAGTTCCTCAGCCCCAAGCTGTGACCTGCCCAGTCAGTTCTTCACATCTGTGCATAAGCCACTGCTGCCACTGGCCCGCCACCTCTCTGCCCTGCACAGCAGTTTCCTCAGTCATGATGGCCTAGGGCAATGTGCATCGTGTGCGGTAATATTCTCATGTGATGGACTATTTCTCTTGCTTTCTGCTGCTGCAGGAGACATCTGTGTTTCCCATACCACCCAGCCCATATCCAACAGACAGGCGCTGAAGCAGGACTCAGTGGCGAGTGCGAGGCTGGACTGGTACAGCCCGGCAATTGGGAGAGAGGAGGCTAAATCGTAAATGGATGTTGCCTTCATACATGGGCTTTGAGGCTAAGCTCAAGGGCAACTCCCATCTTCTTAAGATTTTCAATTTAAGATGGCCATGAAGACTTTAACATAGTCAGCAATTGTAACTAGATTACAGTCACCTATATAAAACCAGCACATTTTAGACTCCAAGAAACTTGGAAGTTCATTTCATGCAAACAGTATGTTTTCTAAGTTAGAAACTGCATTAGAGATAACAAGGGACTTTCAGACTCAAAACGAGGTTGAGGATTGTATTAGGCTTAACACCTGTGGTTGGGTTGATGGCTGTATTAGGCCTGGGTCCCCCATGCACAGGACTGTTCAGCTCCGCCACTGACCTGATCTACCAGCCATTATACGGCAAATAGCCCCGGAAGAGAAAAGACACAAGCATGCTTACAGCTTCTTCCAAGTGTTGCTGGTCTGGATTGTCATTTGGTGTGTGCCTCAGGATTTCCCGGAGAAGCAGAGGGTATTTTACCAGTCGGCTTCTTGGGATATCAAGGAAATTCCACAGATCCAGTTTGCGGCTGAAGGGGGATTCTAAGCAGCGCTGAAGGAAATCTTGAACCCGATGGTCTTGTTTCTTGTGGTCCAATAAGGCTTTGGCAGCCACCTGATTACTGCAGTAGCTGTCATAGGAGCTGAGACAAGGAAGCTGAGAAGGAAACAGAACAAGGAGCTTGAGTGCTGGCATTATGGAGCTCCACAGGCATACTCTGGTGTCAACTTGTCGCTGGGGATGAATGAGCACAAACCGTCCTCCGAGTCCGTCCAGCACTCCTTTACCCTCCAGGCTAGACAGAACTCGTGGAATCTTAGAAACTACAGGCAGGAGACAGCTTCCCTAGGATCTGGTTTGCTTTCACAAAGTAATTTTTGTAGTTGTTTGTTTACTCTCTTGATTATTGACTACTACAACTTGATTGCATATTCTGCCAATCTAAGCCAGTAACAAAAGAACTTGGACTGCTGTGTACACATATAGTCTAGAATCTTTCTAACCCTCTCAAAAGCCACCTTAAAATAAAACAGAATTTCTTTAAAAACTATTCATAAAGAACTCCTGAAGAAGACTCAGCAACACTCACAAAATAACAAGGGATCAGGCTCCTAACCCAGGCTCTTGTGTGGTTTGGTGCAAGGATCTTTACCTTAGTTCACCATTACTTTAATTCAAGGCAGCTCAGTTTATAAAGAAGCTAAAGCAAAAGTAGAATTCATAAACAATCAGCTGCAGAAAGCATTTATAAAAATCTTTTAAATTAGTTCTGACAGTTCAGCAAAGATTTGTGGCTGTATTTTATGATTCACATCACAATGCCATGCAAAGAACAATTTAAAGACTTTGGAACATTTTAACTCCACTGCTTTCATTCCAACAAAACACTCACTTCCCTGACAGGTCTCATCCGTCACACTGTGCAATCACTGTGTCATGGATTCACGGGAGAGTGTCCTGTCCTCCTGTGTCACTCCTCCCTCTCATGGCAGCAGAGACCTGGCATCCTAACACGAAGCTACCTGCCTCCAGGAAGTAGCAGAGGCAACCAAATGGACCCCTCTCCCTTGCACTAGGAGCTGTATCCACCAGGATACCTGTTCATAGAGGATTTACTGTGAGACAGTGAAGTGAGGGTGTCTACAACCCTAGTACCTTGCACTACTATAGAGCTGACATGTTTGTATTCAAGGTAAACAAATAAATGCATGCTTAGTAAAGTACGAGATTAGGTAATATTTGATGGTTTGGGAAACCTGGCTTAAAAATAAAGTATGGCAGCTGGGCACATGCCTATAATCCCGGCACTCGGAGGCTGAGGCAGAAGGATCACTGCCAGTGGGGCAGCCTGGGCTACACAGTGAGCTCAAGGTGAGCCTGAACGACATAGCAAGAATCTGCCTCAAGAAAATCAAAAGAAAAAAATAAAAGAAGAAAACGGCAGCATCTAAAAGTTTAAATACTCTGCTGCTTCTTTTATACATCATATTGAACTTATTTTCTCACCAACTAAAACTAAAAAAAATATTAGTAGGAAAACACTACTAAAAGGTTTACTTCTGAGCTTAAAATTCCTTGGAAATGTCTACCTGCCTCCCATGTTTCATGTTATGAAAGAAAACCTCGACATCTGTTAAAAAAGATCTACAGAAACTCTTCATTCAATCTTGTATTGGAAAGTAATGATAATCAGTACACACACCCACCCCAGATGCAGTGCTTGTAATTTAGACTGTCAGAGTTAATTAAAAAGCACCCCAGGACTTCTTAATTTCATTTCCATTTCCTCGTCTTTTAAAAGACCTGGAAACAACCACTGTTTTCATTATGGAGAAACAAATCAGCAGCAACCATCAGATGTAAACTGCTGAGGATCTCCAGCTGCACAGGCCAATGGGCCATTACTCTGATCCACCCCCACCTGCTGCCATGGCAACCAAGTCACGCTCTGGTCCTGTGTTCACACCTGACAGGGTGCTCATTTCCTGGGCATGACCTGGAGGCTATCTGGTTTAGTTGCTGGCCAGAAAGAGCCGTAAATGATATTTAATGAGACAGGAAACAAAGGATCCACACATCTTAGTCTCCAGATTTATACACTTATTTCAATTATAAGGGGTGAAAATCCAGTGGTGAGAAGAACAGACTCCAGGACTGGGGAGAATTCAGGTTTTAAAGCCAACCTTTGACAGCTGCTTTGAATGATTCTTTTAACATTAATTTTTCCGTTTACAAAATGCATATTCTAATGCCTTCCTCTGGCTTAATGAGAAAATGTATACAAAATGTGCTGTGGAGAGCGGGGCCCCTGGTTGATAATCAGAAAGTACTGGCTGCTATCCTTTGTGTCTAGACTGTTTTAGTGAAGAAACCATGGCTCAGTGTTCCGTGTATGTGTGGTTTTTCTGAGATATGGTCTCACTGTGTATACCAAGCTGGTCCCACACTCACAGCAGCGCTGTCGCAGGGTTACAGCCCAACATGCCAACTAGAAACCATGGTTTAGAGAAGCAAAGCCAGCTGCTCAGGAAGAGCCTAAACCCCTTGCTTATTCCTCTCCTCAAAGCTTAGATCTACCTGATATCTTTGTAAACAAACTATCAAGAATTTATAAGGGAAACTCATTTTTTAATGAAATTCTTTGTATCTTCTTAACACTGTGAAAAGAGAACTAATTTTTCTTTTTCTTTCCTTTTTTCTTTTTTGGCTTCTATATGCCCTGACTTTCTCTTAGGAATTAAAATTTAATTAGAATCTAAATTGACACGAGGATTTGCTGCCTCAGAGTATAAATTATTTTATTACCGAGATAACCCACTGGGAAGTTGTTCCTTTGTGACAGGGAAGGCTTGCTCGAAGAGGGTCCTGGGAGGGGGACACAGATCCTCAGTAACCAGGGTGGCTCCCCAAAAAAAGCAACCAATTCTGTTTAGGGTCTTCAAAGTGGAAGTAACTGATTCATTCTAAGGTCAAAAGGAGCAGCCTTGGTGCCCCATTTGGGCAGCTTACTTGTTGAAAGGTTTTTTTTTCCCCTCCCCACTTTTTTCCTTTGGAGGGGAAATAAATCAATTTTTCATGGGTCAAATGGGCTCTGACTTTCCTCATTCAAAGTCCACTAAGATGTTTATTCTGTTCTGTTAAAAAGACCAGAATTCAAACAGATGTACTCCTTGGTTTACAGTTCCCACTCGCACGGACACATGTGCAGTTAAAAGAGGGAAAACATTTAACAGCGCACAGACTGATAAAGAAGGGCCATTTCTCAGGGGGTCTGGTAACAATGGCTGGCTGTTTGATTTCAGGCTGCTCTTCAAGTTACAGGTCCCCCTGTGATGCCTGCAGGGTACAGATGGCAATGGACTATCATGGTCACTTTTCTTTTGAGCATGCAGAGAAACAGACTCCAAAAGCTGTCCTCAAATTGAACCAATTTCCTCATAAAAGTGACAAATTTTCATTTCAGTAAAAGTTAAGAACAAGGCAAATCCCTACAAGTTTGCTTCTTAAACACAGTCACAATTTACACATGATGATGAAGGGAACCATGTAATTCTACACTGCTATCTTGTCAAAAACAGAGTAATCACCCTGCTAATTCTGGAGTGTGGTTTCACTACCTCTATCACTCCTGACAAAAGCAGGCTACAAACTCAACATGTTGAAGAAAGACTGAGAAAAAAAAAGAAAGAGGCTGACCTCTTCTCATTAATACTTCTGATTCCAGGTGGCTAGCTCTCTATGGAAGAAAGTTTTTGTCAGCTAAAGCAGTTACAACATCACTACATAATAAAATGAAAGTCAAAAGTATAAGATGAATGATCTCTTGAAATATTTAGGCACATTTTCTGATTTATTCATGTTAGAACATTACTTGTCTTGCAGATACCCTTGGGGTATTTCAGCCTCGGTGCTAAAACTGACTCCTGAACTAAGTCTAGCTAAGTCATGAAACGGTCAAAAGTTCTGGACAGAGGCAATGATGGAGAAGCTCAAGAGATCAATATTAAAACTTCTTGCCACCAATCGGAACTGGGAAGTGTTAGGAAGGTTAAAATACAAACATAACCAGAGAAAGAAAATTTATATAGCAGCAGTAGGATTTATAACCTTCATGACACCCTCCCTGCAGAGGAAGGATCGCTAATATTAGCCGGCATGTTGCCTCCTGGCTGTTTTCCTAGAATACAGGGAAATGAGAGACCTGATTCTACCTGGAAGAAGTCACAGAAATAGTCTTCTGGGGTGGAACTCTCAAATACTCACAAAAAGAACAAAATGTACGGAAGAGAGAGTGGCAGGGACATGACAAACCAGAGACTGGATGCCTTGCCTAAAATGAATTAAACCAACAAACATTATTCATCCCATGGAACACACATGCATTTTTAAGGACCATAGTGTATGCACCTGGTCCAAGGTCACAGCTTTTTTCTTATTTGGAAAAAACATGGGTTACCTTGGGATAAATTGCATTATATACCCAGCTCTCCTCCGGAGTAATGTAGGGTCATACATCTGCTGGATATTAGCAACATGTACTTATCTTATTTATGAAACCACATTTTGACTATGAGATTTTTCATAGACTAAAAAGCTTTGTATGATGAACAAGAGTGTATCAAAACCAATGTAATAGATTAGAAACAGTAATAACCATAATGAGAAACAGCTTGAATCCAATATTATCTAATTTCATTTGATGTTCAATTAGTAACAGTTTCATGTGTACCTTTACTTTTCTTTCTTTTTTTTGTGGTAGCAGGGATCGAACTCCTGACTCGTACTTGCCAGGCAGGTGCTTATGTCGCTGAGCTAAATCCCCAACCCTACCTTTACTTTTTATAAAAATGTCATGTTTTTACTTATTTTATTATAAAAATGTCATGTTATTTTAAATATACTAAATCTGTATTAAGAAAAATTTGTTTGGATGCTTTGAAAACATAGCCTAGATTTTTTTTCTGGTGTGAAACCAACATTTGCCAATAAAGAATGTCTAGCTACACAGAACTCCATCTATCCACATGAACTGAAATCTGTCTGCAGCCCAAACCAAAGGACTCTTCTTACCCAGCCCACGAGGATGGGACCGACATGTTCCGTGGAGCCATCCGGCTTCCGAACATCTCGAAGCTGACTGAGGAGCTCTGGCAAAACCAAACAGAATGCTGATTTCATTAGGTGTCAAATGAGCAGGACGAGAAGGCTCTGGATGAGTCACGTTATTACATAATTACTGATTTATTACAGGACAACTTAATTAGGGCTAAAAGTCCCAACTCATCCTGAGGACAGAATTATACCTTCATGTAGAGGAATTAGAGAGTCCAGTGTTCCAAAAATTTGATTCAGCTCTTGTTCTGTCATGATGGAGAGTTTCAGCATGGGATCATGATAGGCCTACACAAGACGGCAACAGAGAGACACAAACATTTTATGTCAGAGGGACTCAGCTACTGAGTGCGCCTAGCTCCCGGGAGTACCTTACAACTAAACACAGAACGCAAACCCAACACTGGCTCCCTCCACCAACCCCCATGACTCTGCAGAACCCGCAGACAGGTGCGGCTAGGGGAGAGGAGACCCCAGTGCTGGTCTGAGCCTTTTGCCCTTGTTGATAAACCAAAGCAGATTTTTTCCAAAGCTTTCTTATTTCAGTATATCATACATCTAGGATGGAACACAAATTATAGGTTTAAAACAACAAAAAAACCTTCGTAGAGTAAATTTGACTGTTACACAATGTTTTAAAATTTAAAAAGATCCTTCAGCTTGAAAAACTTCACTGTATTCAAAATTAGCTACCAGCCAGCTCTTTTTCAATTAGTATATATGTGAAATAAGGAAAAGAAAAAGTGATTGGCATCTTTTATTTTTGATTTAAGGTAAAAAGGGCAAAACCTCTGCCAATCCTATTCTTTTCTACTAAAGATAAACAACAAGAATACAGTTATACCAGGACTCTGTAATGCAACACAGATGATACAGTTCCTGCTTGTAAAAAGTTTTAGAAAGCTAACTGGGAAGATGTTTTCTAAATGCAGAGAAAATGAAATGCATGCAACCAGGCGTGGTGGTGCACGCCTGTAATCCTGGCACTCAGGAGGCTAAGGCAGGAGGATCACTGAGTTTGAGGCCAGCCTGGGCTACTTAAGCACATCCAAGGCTAGTCCATACTACACTATGAGATGCTGTCTCAAAAAAATGCAAAGATATATATCTCCCCAATTTAGAATACACTTGCTCTTGTCACTTTCTGATCAGATCTTTTTTTTTTTTTTTTTTGGTACTGGGGATCGAACTCATGACTATGCACTTGCAAGGCAGGCGCTTATCTGAATCAGTTCTAAAAGTCCTTTTTTGTGACTTCAATTGTGTTTTTGGAGATGCTTCGATATGCTGAATGGGTCCAAAGTGCTCACATCTGAAGAACATCTTGACTTTGCGGAAGAGCCAGAGGAACGTTCCAGATCTGGTGAATAGGGCAGGCAGGGCTTCACTGTGCTGCTTATGTGAGCTGCCTCTCAGTGAGGTGGCACCTGGCAGCAGCATTCACTATATATATAAATAATCACACCTCATAAAGACATTCTGAACAAGTACTTCTAGAACTTCTTCAGAAAGCTGCAAGAATGATGGGATAAGTCTCTTCACAACTCAGGCTAGCATACTGTAATAATTTTTGTTGAAACACCCACTTAATCTATTTATTTAGTTTTTTTTGAGACAAAGTCTCACTGTCCAGGCTGGCCTTGGGCTCACTGTGTAGCCCAGGCTGGTCTCGAACTTTCACACTTTATATTCTGACCAGCCCTTGAATAACTAACACGATGTCTCCCGGAGTTAAATGCCTCCCAGATCTCCTTCTCCAGCCCTAACATTCAGTTTCTTGGCTCTGTCCTTGCAAAGCCTGACAGCCATCTCAGCAATGCCAGAGGTGTCACCTCCTATTAGCAGGAAGCTGGGCTAAGGACCCTTCAAAAGCAGGAAGTACCCTTTCAACCTTGCTTCTCTGAGGAGGCAGTGAGTATCAGATAGCAGATTCTAGATATAGCTTCTAAAGCATGGAAGGTCACTGTAATGGAAAAGGTTTGGAGAAAGGTTTGTTGCCAGGAGTGTATATGCAAGGCATGGTTTTCTCCCTCTCCTCCCATACAGCGCTGACTAAAAACAAGTTTCCAGCTGAGGATGTAGCTCAGAGGTAGAGCATGGGCATAACACGCCTAAGTTCCTAGGTTCCACTGCAGCCACCACCAGCCAACCAAAAAATCAGTTTCCATATGAAAGATCCTGCTTATGACAGGACACAATGAGTCTAACCCCACCCCTTATCTCTCTTTGAGATCCAAGAATCTTTATTTCTAAGATACTGCTCTGCTGTCCCCTGCGGACAAAGAGGCCCTGCATGTGAGATTTCTAGAACAAAATACACACAAAACCAGGCCTCCATAGAGACTGACTGAAAATGATGTCCTCCTTGAGGAGCAGCAGACAGGCAGACCAGAGCCTCACAGTGCCAGGTGCAGAGCATCTCCCCCACTGTGTGGTTTGCGGTTGCATGTTATTCTACGTTTCTGATTCTTAGTCACAAAGAATGGAGTGCTTAGTTTGCACCATCTTAAAACTGTGAAATTACTCAAAGGAAGGAAGGTATGAGGCAGCTCCAACGACTGCTGGATTTCAGTTTACCTTTTTTGCTAACTTCAAGTCTTCTATCAGGTCTTCTTCTCCTTGGGAAAGCTCAAAGATTGCCTGCAAGAAAAGGTATATTTATTGAACTCTCCCCTGAGCACTGATGCTAGCACTAGAAGCTCCAAATCAGTCTTTCTGGGTTTTTTGTTTTTGTCTTTTAGAGACAGGGTCTCACTATGCAGTTCAGGCTGGTCTGAGTTCACTTTGTAGCCCAGGCTGGTCTCTAACTTGAAATAATCCTCCTGCCTCAGCCTCCCGAGTGCTAGTATTACACACAAGTGCCACCACGCTGGTTTTCTTCTGGTTTTTTGAGACAGGAACTCACTCTGTAATTCAGGGTAGCCTTGAGCTCACTTTGTAGCCCAGGCTGATCTCTAATGTGTGGTGATCCTCCTGCCTCAGCCTCCCAAATACTGAGATTGCAGGAGTGGGTCACTATACCTGGCTCCAAATCATTATTTACTTTAAAAACATTTTCAAAAAAGTTAAATTAACTTGAAGCAAATCTACCTACTAGCTAAAACCTGCAAAGGAAAGATTTTTTGTCTTTTTCGTTTTTATTGATTGGTACCAGGGATCGAACTCAGGACCGCACACTTGCAAGGCAGGTGCTTATGCCGCTGAGCTAAATCCCCAGCCCCCAAAGGAAAGATTTTGTAAGCTTTCTATATTATATGCTCCTAGCTATGGGAGAAAGGGCTTCCACATATTTCTAATCCAACAAGGCATTTTTCATGCTACCGATCTTTGAGGAAGCTGAACAAGAGGGAACTATTTCAGGTAACATAATTACAGCTTGGGCCATGAATCCCACATCTTGTTAGGAGTCGTAATCCTCAGCAATGACTCAGGGTCTCTTCTCACTAATGGACCTGGCGATATTACTATCAGAACTGTCCCAGTTTGCCTCCCTTCTACTCAACAGAAGATGAACCTCGGTGGAAAGCTTTATTCCTTTCACCCACTTGCCTTGAGGCTGGGATTGTGGAGAGAAACCAACATTTCATCAATGTAAATAAAACCTGGTGAGGTTAGTTCACTTTTAAAGTATGTCTCAGCCCCACAGCTATGATAGAAAGTTACAGGCACTGGTTGTGTGCAAGAGAACACACACAGGCCGGTCTAACTGGGCTATAATAAAAGCCACCATCCTTTAGAAGTATGATGTGTGGAATGGGCAGGTGACGCAGCTGGGGGCTGGAGGACCGGAGGGCAGACAGTGTGCTCACTGCAAAGCGGGTGGAGGGGGACCCTGTGTGGGGTGCCGCCCCTCCCAAAGCCCAGCAGAGTCCAGGTCATGGCCTCTGGCATTCTATTTTACTTCTTTGTTTCAAAATAATTAAGACTCATGAGGAGCTGCAAGAATGTCATATGGGGTCCCGTGCAACTAGCACTCAGCTGCCCCCATGGGTGGCATCGCACATAACTAGAGTGTTTTCCCAAAACCAGAAAATGGATTGGCTCTTGACACTGAACTAGCCTTTACGCTAATCTCCCTCAGATTTCCTTGACCTCTGTTGTATTAGAGCTCACCAAATGTGGGCCCAAGGAGAAGAAAACCATAGACACATCACAGGAGATACACCATGGGCTCAGGATAGGATAGATCAGACTGGACCAGGTTTAAATCTCGACCCTGTGGCTTACCAAGCTGTGCCCTTGTGCTCACCATGCCTTAATAATTCCTTAATAATTTCTTCACCTCAGGATCCATCCTTCCTTCCTGCCATCCCTTCTGCTTTTACGGTCACATTGTATAAGTTACATACTTATACTGTTACCACTTGCAAAAATACAGAGAAACACAGAGAAGACTAAGAATACAGGAATAACAGACTCAAGTTTCCCCTATGCTCCCACAGCTCAGATCCATTCTGATGCCCAGTTATGGAGGTCTCCTTACACCCCAGGAAAGCCATCGGTTCTGCAACGGATATCACATAGGTGTCCCAATTCACTTCTGACACCATCTCCCTAGAGGCAGCACCAGACTACAAGTTGAGGGTTTAGTGCCCAAGACATCAGCCTCTTTCAGATGCCAATCAAAGATCTAGGACGTCTTACCTGTGTTTCTATCAACTGACTATAAATAGGTTTTCCATGACTGCCTCTTAGGACTCACTGATCCTGCTAACTAGTATTAATTTGAAACATGGCAACACTTATGCATAATAGTTTATCTCACAAACGGCAGAATTTTACAAAGCATACCTGTAAATGCCAGGTGAAGAGAGGAACAGGTACCTACAGGAGGGGCATGGTGCTCCCATACCCTGCCCAGGCGCATCACTCTCCGAGAAACCCAGCAAGCCAGAAGCTCCACAAATCCTATCTTTTCAACTTTTTACGGAAGTGCCATTACATTGGCATGACTGATTGTATCACTGGTCAGGGTATTGAATTTATAACCTTCCATCTTCCTCATTGTGCAGAAGTTAGGGGGCATAGCTGAAAAAAATCTCTTTCTTCTAAACCTGCCTTCGTCTCACCAGGTGACCAGCCCCTGTCTTGATACCACCAAGGGCTGGCACAAAGCATCACTTCAAAGATATGGAGAGCTGCATGCCAGGAAGTGGGGCCAAGGCCAAATATGATTTCACAGCATCATGTCAGCCACTGTTGAGACTATGCCATGTATCTCACAGAACTTTCTTGCAAGTGTACATTTGAAAGGTTTTATTTATACACTGAATAGATAATACATTTACACGGTACAAATGTAAGGTGCACAACTGGGCACATGGTACAAGCTCTCTATCTCGTATCCTTTTTCCAGTCACCAAGGAGGCAACACAGTTGCCTGTGTCTTGGATACCCTTCCAGAAATACCACATGGTTTGGCAGATACACACACGTACACACTCTCTCTCTTTACTCTTTTTATGTTTCTGGGAGCACACTCTGTGGCCTGTGTTCTGCACCCCTTAGCTAAATCTACAGCTCAGTTCTTCTGCATGTGTTTCTGCAGCTCACAGCACTTCAGGTATTTAAACCACTTTCGATGACAGATGTGCAGCCTCTTTCTAAATTAATACTATTTTAAACAGCACTGCGACAAGACTTTTCCCTTGAAAGAAGTTTTGAGTCTTCTTTCCATTTAAGGCCTACCAAAAGCTACCCAGACCGATGTGTCTGGGGTTCTGTGATAAGGAATCTCGCACCTATCTTTCTTCACTTGTGTACAAGGAAACCTGGAAGGTGGGCTTAGAAGAGAACTGCTTAGTCACAGAATCTAGAAAACTATCAAATACTCTTTTTTTTTTTTTTTTTTGCCAACGTCAGCTTCTCCATAAATAAGAGGCTGCCAGGATGTCATTAGAAGATGCCCACATGAATAGCCTGGCCCACCCTGGAATACAGCAAACTATAAAAAGTGATGCCACCAGAGCCATTTAGCCATTTAGGGTTATTGATACACAAAACTTGTACCCTTCAGAAAGGAGTTTTTCACAAAGCCAAACTGCAGTTCTATCAATGGAATATTTCTAAATATTTTAGAAGTTGCCACCAATATGCCTGTTTCTGTGAACTTCAGAATTCTAAACAGACACTCGGTTTCAATATCCTGCACATTCAGATATCCATATCAGTTTCTTTTTTATGGGGAGGCTGCACCCACCCAGCTGGCTACTGGTCCTTCGTTCCTTCCACACACGTCTTCCTGTAAAGGCACAAAGAAGTGATCGGGAAACCAAAGCTGCAGGCTCTGACCTGCTCTACGGCTTTGGGGCAGACGAGCACCCAGCCCTGGGTTCCCTGCCTACCTCCTGGCGTTTGATCTCCTTGGCTGTGAGCATCTGATTAACGCACACATCGAAGGTCTCACTCCACAGCTTGCTGTCTCTCCGCTTTGTGCTTGAAGAGGAGGCATTTCTGGACCAGGGTCGGGGGCCGAGGATGTCTGGGCGGCTCTCACTTCGGAAGCTAATGGACCGCTGACAATGAGAAAAACAAAGCACCACACAGGGTCAGCAGAGGCCTGGGCGAATCCTTTGAGCAACTTCCTGTGGCTGACAGAATGTAAATCACGTGTTCACCAGAGTGAGAGGACATGGTCACCAGTCACTGTGGTGAGTCTACAGAAAACTGGATGCGGGCTCCTTGCTCATGCGTGCTGGAACATCCATTCTGTGTGACCTGGACCCCAAGGGCACTACAGCACAAGAACAGAGCAGGCTCGACTCCCACAGGAAGACAGCCCAGTAAGTTATGAGTTCGCCTGGCTCCCAGTGGGCAGCTTACTCTAAAGGATACAGGAGAGCAGTTCGTAGTAGTAAAAGGTAAAACACTTACACGATCTGATGAGAAACCAGTGTTAACAGCACATAGTAGGTGGCCAGTATGCCTAGGCTCTCAGAACAGGGACCCTGCTACTGTGGGCTACCCCATTTTAGACAGTTTGAGTGGACTCCCTCAGACCTGACCAGTTGGAGTATTCCACCTGTGCACGGCTGAGCACCGAGTCCCTGAAATTCTCCACGTGGTTTATGACTGAAAAGGCAGACGAGTCTTTATTCCTCTGGGACTATGAGTTCAGGGGACAACACAAGCTGGAGCTTCTTGCAGCAACTCAAATGCATCACAAGGAAGAATCTATTTGCCACAGGAAAGAAGAGAGGGCTGCAAAGAATGAAGGAAAGACAAGACTGACTGGTGGCAGGATGCAGGGAATGAGCTTCATCAGCATTGATTGAGCCTCTGGAAGCCCACTGCACCTAGTGCCAAGAAAAGCCACCCTTAACCAGTCTGCCCACATGGCTAATACAACTGACAGGCACAGGGCTAATGCCTATTTACACTGAGCTTAGCTGAGGGGCTGTCAGTTCAATAAGTCCCAACCAAGGCCTCAGTAAACACCACCTTGGCAGGAAATGTTTGTATGTTGATGCAGTCATGTTCCGCAGCAGCCCCAGCGGACTCAGGGACCCTAAAGTCCTGAAGCTAGCCTTGTAGCTGCAACAGGCCACCACAGTGCTTCCTCCTGACAGACAAATCTCCAGGAAGGGAGGAAGGTAAATGTGTCATCTTTAGTCTTCACGACATTTCAACACACTGGAAACTTCGCCAAAGCAATGAGGCATCATGGAAACCCAAAACCACATTCTTATTTAAGTGTTCCCTGCTGCACTGCGGCTTCCTGTGGCCTTCCTGGCAAAGTTCCAACTCCTCAGCAGGGGGCAGCCCCTTGAAATGTGACCCAGCTACACCCTTAAGAGCATAGCTTGCCCCACACCCAGGCGCCCCTGTCCTTTAGCCCTCTTGCTCAGCCTGCCACCCTCTACCCTTTGTGCTTCCTCCAAGAAACCTTCTCTTTCTGAAAGGTATTTCTTGAATCTTACAGCTGCCTGACTCCAAACCATTCTCAGCTGCCCTTTCTCCTTTCCCAGAACAATCTGATACACCCATCATAAAGCCTTGGTCACACTCTGCTATATTTACTGGTCACTTGCTCTAAATTATAAACTTTTTGGACAGGAACTGATTTTGTTTGTGATATATGAACTGGCATGACTGAGACAGCTTCCAATTATCTTGTGGTTCAACAATAAAATTGAAGAAATTAGAGGAGTTTTGTTTGTTTTAAAACAAGGCATTATATTGCTTAGAGGACCCCAAACTCCTGACCTCAAGTGATTCTGCTGTCTTAGTCTCCCAAGTAGCTGGGACCACAGGTGTGTGCCACTCTGTCCAGCTTGGACAATATAAGAACACTGTTAAAGAAGCTATAATTACCTGCTTAATGGAAGACTGTCTAGCCATTAATACAATTCTAAGACAATTTAATGCTGAAAATTTCTTCTGTGCAAGTTAAAAATAAAATCAGGATTAATATATATAAATATATATTAAAAAATATATAATATAAACACGATATAATTATGCAGAAACATGTGAGCTGGGTGTGGTAGCACATGCCTATAATCCCAGCACTCAGGAGACTGAGGCAAAAGGACCACTGTGAGTTCAAGGCCAGACTGGGTTCAATAGCAAGTTCAAGACCAGCCTGGTCTACATAGTGAGTCCCTGTCTTAAAAAACAAAACCAAACTCCAAAAGTAAAGAACAAAAATAAAAGCCAAGCAAGAAAAAGTATATGTGATCTAAGATGCAAATGCCATAAAATTCTCCTATTTTAAATCTATGTAACATTATAGATGATTTTTGCCTTACTTTATGATTTTTATGCCCTAAGAAAAATGAATAAATGAAAAACTTAAGAAGAAACTTCCAAGGGGGTTCAGGACATCACCAGAGCCACCGGATACAGGAAGCAGGAAGCCAATTCTGTGTACAGAGCAACACAGGCTCCTGTACAACACCAGCACTGGCATCTGTCAGTGCCTGGGCTCCCCATGAGCGCCAACCCACCGGAGCAGCCCTGAGCAGATCAAAAAAGGAGTTGCACAAAATACACAGCTTGCTAATGGTATTTTGCAAATCCTCATGACCTCTTAAAAACAGTCGGTTATAAACAGTACCCGGGCTAAGTGAATACAGAGCCCCCGCTGTCAGACCCAGTTAGCCAGTCAGGAGAAGGCCAAAACAGGCAGGGTGAGTCATCCAGAAAGCCTGTGGCAGTTCTGAGGGGAGCCGGGGTGGGGAATGAGAGAGCAGAGAAAGGAAAACATAGGAAAAAAATTCAAAACGAAACGGTTTCCACTTTCACTTCGAAGAATCAACCTCTCATTTACTACTCCTTCAGAAGCTGACCAAATTCAGACTTCTCCCACCAGTTTGAAAAGCAACTTATGCTAACTTTAAACAAATTTCAGACATTCGGAAGAATGCATTCAGTAAAAATCCCCTTCCTCCCTTCCTCCCTCCATGTACTCTCTAGAAACAATCACTGTTAAGTTTCTTCTACATCTACCCAAACCTTTCCTAACATCTGCACACTGATTCAGTCAACTCCCAGTTCACGGACACCAAGGTCATTCCCAGTGTCTCACTATTACAAAGGTGCTTCCATGACAGCCTTTGTGCATTTGGGTTGTATTTCTATGAGGCAGATCTGTTGAGTAGAATTCCTTCGTCTAAGAAGTATTCCTTTAAATTACAATTATTGTGTTGTTTTATTTTAGTGCTGAGCGAGTGTACCATCACGGGGCTATGTGCTATCCAGTTGGCCTTCAAACAGGCTGCTCAACCATGTACTCCCTGAGTTGCCATAATCCCCTTTATTCCAACTCTCACCACTGAGATTACTATCAACCTGATCGGGAAAACTACTACACTTGTATTTCAGTTTCATGTTTCCAACGTAGCAGGCCAGGTGTGCTGAGCTGGTTGCACGCCTGTAATCCCAGCGCTTGGGAGGCTGAGGCAGGAAGAAGGCTGTGAGCGTGAAGTCAGTGTGGGCTACAGAGACTTCAAGGCCAGTCTGCATTACATGGCGAGACCTTGCCTCAAAAAACAAACAAAAAATAAAAAACAGAAAGAAAAAGAAAAAAGAGAGAAAGATTGAGCGTACATATTTTCATGTATTTACTGAAGCACTTCCCAGAGAGCTGCAGGTTTTCTTTTGTTGCAGCTGGAGAGGAGAACTACGCTACTGCAGGTGGGCTCCATCGCAGAAATTCTTCACTTTGGGTTTCTGAGTGATTCCTTGCCCCAGAGACTACAGTGACCATCACTGAGGGTCTCTGATGCTCTTGCCTATGCTTAGCGCTTCTGTCTCCAGTGCTCATATCCATCCATCCTGAAAGCGGGGAGCGTTTTAATTTTATCAGTGAGGAAGCTGAGGCTGAGGGAGGATAAGGAATTTGCCCAAATCAGGACCTAACATAAGACCTGTCTGTCGTCTCCAGAGCCCGGAATAGGCAACTGTGCCTGCGATTCCAGCAAATCAGGCACTGGGGGAAGGCTGTGATGAGATCCAGCTCCTGCCTTCTGGAAACAAAACCCAGATAAAGAACGGGAACGCTTTTCCTCAGCTTTAGGAGTGATGGCTGTAACGCATTAGATCTAAAGTGTTCCCCAGAAGTCTCCCATGGTCCGGGTGGGGTTCAGAAGGAGACTGCACTATGAGGGCATCACCCCATCACCTGGACCAATCACTGATGAGCTTACAGCGCATGGGCTGTTAAAGAGGGGCCCCAGGCTGGAGACAGGGAGTCACTGGGACCTTTGGAGGACGTGTGTTCCCCTCTGGCTCTCTTTCTGGTCTCCATGATTCTGGCCAGCACAAGGGGAGCACTTTCCTCTGTCGTGGTGTTTCTGCTTTGGAACCAGTCAACCAGGGACTAAAACCTCTGACCTGAGCCAAAATAACTCCTTCCTCTTTTTTAAAATTGTCAATCAGTCACAGAAAGATGACAAATGACTGATCTATGACCAATCAAACTATAGATTTATACCTGGAGTTAGGTTGGATTAAAACAAACATTTTATGTTTCCTTTCTCTCAGAAGGGAGGAGGATATTGACAGGAAGAATCTAAAAGAGGAGCCAGGAGTGGTGGCACACACCTGTAATCCCAGCATTCAGGAGGCTGAGGCAAGAGAATCACCATGAGTTCAAGGCTAGCGTGGGCCACACAGTGCGTTCAAGGCCAGCCGGAACTATACAGTGAGACTCCATCTCGAAAACACAACACAACACAACACAACACAACACAACACAACACAACAGCCTAGGGAGTGCTAGTTAGGTGTGTGAGCAGCAGCTGGCCGCCCTGGGGTAAAGGAGTAGCTGCTGGCTTGCCACGGACCATGCCAGGGAAATAAACACTCAGGTGTTCACAACAGCATGGACCACACTCCATGAGCGATTCCCTAACCAGCCACTGATATAACTGGACATAATTACATGTGAGGATGGGGGAAGCACTCACAGAAATCCCCCAGGGAAGTGGACGCCTCTTGAGAAAGAAGACTGCCACAGCGCTCTTGCAGTGTCCTCGCCACTGCTCATCCTCCTGTAGTTTCTCTGTTTGCA